CATGTTTAATAATACAAATAGTATTATACTTAATATGAAATTTTAATTTGCATAAAATATCTGAATTAATACAAAAATTAATTAAGACTAAAAATACATATTAAGAATTAATTAAAACATGAAATTACAAAATTAGTATAATGTAATTCACTTTTCCTTATATTATTTTATGGATGGTAACCTTTTATTTGATTTAAAATTAATCAGTTATAATAATAATTAATATTTATTAAATTGTTAGAAAATAGAAAGAATTTAAATTTAGTATTATAATAATAAAAAATATTGTTTTTAGTGCGGAATTTGGTGTTGTGGTTGGAGATGAAAAAAAATTTTTGACACTAAAACACCAAATTTGATGTAATTTCAATACTAAATATAGTGTGATGGTTGGAATTGCTCTTAATAAACTAATCACAACCACACTGGTATAAATCACTAAAACCACAAGTTCTATTCAATTTGAAAGAAAGAAAAAAAAAACAGTTAAGAATTCAACATTCAATAATTACATAATTGACTATGATAGGAAAAGAGGAAAAAAATAGTAAATTGTTGTTGGAGTAATCAGAAGGATCCAATTTTTTTAATAATTAAATTAAGTAAACAGGCGTTAGAAAATTCAAAAAAGATGTTGAAAAGCAAAGATGCCAAAGGAATATGCGTCAACTGAGTGGGTAGCTTAGCTTACCACTGTTATTCCACCTGTCCTTGAATCTATGATTTTAATTATGTTCTTGACTTCACAAATTTATGTTCTTGGGTTCCAATTCTGAACATTGGACCCTTACCTTTCACAAATTTATTCAGTTTCTACTTGCCGTTTCTTAAACACTTTTTTTTTTGCAATGTTATGATTTATGGTAATTGTTATTAACCCAATAATCGCTATTGGACTTGGACACTTCAAAGTTGATTTTGTATTTAAGAATTTAATATTAATGTACATTTTCCTTTTGTCAGCATATATGTACATTAACTACTCAAATTTATATATACATTTAAATATACAAGATCCAACTAATATTTAAATTTCCTTATTACTAGTTTATTACTTGTTCTAGTGTCTATTTGACTTCCC